ATGATTTTATGTTATGTGACACGTGTACATTGTACATAGTTCTAAACTAAAACATACTACGACCAAGACTTGCTAAGACTGGGATTATCCGGGATTGTTTAGGCAGGGTATGATTTGATTGATTCGTCTATTGGCTATTATGGACTATATATAAGTCTATATCTATAACCTCCATTGTCATATTCATTTTATATTATTGTTACATGTCTATGTCATTGTTTATGAACTGTTTATGTAATTTATGTATGCAATGCTGATTTATTTTTCAATATTGCCGTTTACCCATGACCTTGACTTTGGTATGACTCACTTAACAACTTGCATGTCTCAATATGCGTCACATGAAATTGTTTGATGTATGTTTTGTGACAAAACATAAAGTGCACATGTGGATGTGAATCTGTTTTTGGTCATATCATTATCACCGTATCATGCTTGAAATTATTATGATGTCGATGACTGTATGTTTAGGTTCTGAACCCCAATCTTTCAAGCTCATGTCAGGGGTCCCATTTCCTGCTCGCAGGATTCTGGAAAGAATGGCAAAAGCGCAGTCCAAGGTGGATCAGAGCAGAGGACAGGTTCTGGACTCCCGGTGGCTAGCAAGTCAGAGATTCTGAGTAGGGACGCAGTTTCTTTTGTAGAGGCAAGGCATTTGAACAAGGGTGCCACTATCGCAGAAGTGCATCCCCGGAGAAATTTTTGGGAATGCTCAAATGTGTTGTGAACAAATCTGGAAATATGGCAAGTATGTGTTCGGTGTGCAAAATTCATTCCAGCTGCCAATGCTGGGTTTCAAACATGTCAAGTGCAGACTTGTTGCTTCAGTGGCTAGTGCAAGCTGACTCTACTTCAGCTGAGACTCATTTGGTACTAGCCAAAGATTTAAAGAAGAGTGTGGGAATGAAAGTTCGAGACTAAACTCGGCTATCTTCTTAATTTATGCAACCTTCGGCTTCGGCAGCAGATGAGCTTTGGGGTCACAAAAGCGCAGTGTACGGGAACGGGTGGACAAACTTTGGACTCTTCACAGCTCACAGCAAGTGTCCAAACACAACTTCACACTTTTCAAACTTCAGCCCTAATTAGAAACATTCAGGAAAGTTACAATCCACTTTTCTGACATATATCCGAAAGTTTTGCCATTGTTTAGTTAATACTATATGTGTTACTCATGTTGTGTGATGTGAACCATGTTTGCTAAGTCAACTGATCTCAAATGTTGTATTGTTGGCAGTTCCCGTTTCCAACTGTCAAGTGTCAAGACACCAAAACCTAGGACCCAAAAAACTTGCCAAAATGGGGATCCAAATTGGGCCAAAATTTGCAAGGTGTCGGAATAAATTGTAAGCTTAGCTAAGGCCACAATTTACAATTTGCCTGAGGCCACAATTTACTCCGGATGTGCCTATTTAGTTGCAAAAAAGTAAATTGTAACCTTAACTCTGGGGAGTAAATTGTAGCCTTAACGGGGAAAATTGTAGCCTTAACAATTCCGCAATTTTGGGCTAGTTGGGGGAGAATTTTGAGCCAAATTTGGGGCAATTTTTCGGATGATGTTAGCACATGTTTGAGTGCGTCATGGACAAGGTTTTGTTGTGAACCATTTTCAACTTTCCAGTGGTAACCCAACATGATGATCAGATTATCTACTATTTCATTTCAAAGTCATGTTGTATTCTTTTGTTGTGTGGTGTTGGATGGTGGTTTGATTTTGTGATCATTGTTATATGATATATAAAAATGTTTATATAATTATATGATTGTTATGATTCAAGTGATGATGTTCGGTTTAGCCTTTTCCCTTTCGCCATTGTTTGGGACAAGCCCCATCCATGTGACCCATGTGATGTGATTTGATCTATTCCAATTTCCAGTAGCATTTTTCAGACACAACTCGTGGCCATCCTTCGTCTAGGTTTTTCCCAGTTAGTCATGCCGATGCATTCGCCCATGTCTACATCCTCCCGATCATCAAAGGCAACTACTATGAGGTTGGGGACTCACCACCACCGCGTTTGCGCCGTATGAATGCCATTGACATGGATGGGATTGTGAGCAGTCCAGAAACCCCAAAGGGAGCCAAGGCAATGAAGAAGATGGCAGTCAAAGAGTTGGGTGTCAAGGGCACAGCTGGGAAGGGTGGCAAGCATGGCAGTGGCAGTTCTTCTTCGAAGTCTTCCTCCCCGTGTACATCCCCGAAGTCACCGAAGTCTCCCAAAACCCCCAACTACAAGAAGGTCATGAAGTCGATCATGAAAAAGTCATCCACGCCCACGCCCACCAAGTCGGTTATGAAAGTTATGAAGGCCATGAAGTGTTTGACTGTTTCCAAGAAACGTCCAGCCGCCCGTGG